GCACAACGCACTGTACATGATGGGATTTTAGCGGCTGGTGGTGTGACCAACATTCAAGTGGACAAGCAGCTTATTCAGTACTGTCGAAACGCCCGAGGTCGGTACCAGGAATTTTTGGATGCAAAGCGAGCTGAGGGGATTGCAAGCGATAAAGAAGCTAGCCGAAAGAGGAAAGCGGACAAAGCAATAAAAGAGCTGGAAATGAAACAGGCTAAACTTTAGGCAGACGCAGAGAAAGAGGCTGCTGCTTTGGACGTTAAACTAAAAGAGCTGAGAAAATAAAGTGTAATATTAAGGTTTCTTTTTAAATATAAACTGATTCGACCATTTTGTATGGAACATAAACATATTTTCCTATTATTTTTGTATCATCATCTGGATTCAGCTATGAGTTTGGTTTTCTGTTTTTGTGGATGAAAATTGTCGAAAACTTGCTTAGTTATTTTCATTTTATTTTGTTTGAGGCAAACCGGGAAAATATTAATGTTTTAACCGGGAAAACCGGGAAAAACCGGAAATTTCAAAATAAAAATTCTATGGCCACCCTGTGCAAGTACCACAAGTTCAACAACGCCCAACTATGGACAGCTCAATGTTAATACCATGTAACCTTTGAATCAGCGTACACCAACATGATAATCTACTAAGAAACACCTAAGAATGTATAGAGATAAAGCTCAAAATTACAATATTAGCTGATGGTACTTTATAAACATTAAACTGTCCAATATTGGACCCCCCTGCGAACACACGGCGTCTGCACGGTAATGTGGGCCGTCAGAATGGTTCACCGATTGCGAAGTGAAGTGCTTCTCAAACTGAAGCGATACATTTCTCAATTTTCTCAACGTTATCCTAACGTAAACTTAATATTATCACCCATATGCCCGTATACGCCCGAAACACATCCACCACACACAATCAAATAAAAATGTTTCTGTGTGGCAAACACGTCTAGACATAAACGAGAATATGGGTGTATATCTTCACTGTAACAACTACGGGTAATCATCGAAAATACTTGCCTTTTTTACTCAAGCACTTTTGAGCAAACTGCAATCAGTCTCTCATACTCGAAATGTGTCACGAACTAATTGGCACAACGACGCCCTATATGCTCTCTGACCAGCAGGGTGCGCGGGACTTTAAGAATCAAACAAATTAACAAATGTACTAGCTGACCCATCTTGCCTCACCTTGCCCTACTCCTGCTAACTACTTGATTAGAAATAATATCCGTGACTATTCACTTCCGCTAAGAGATACTCCTGCCGTTTCCACTTCCCAACGCGTTTCAGCTAACCCCGGTGTACCTTATAATGAAACACAACATGCCGAGAAATACATTGTTAATTTTTTTCTTCCTTAAGCTTTTATGAGACAACCTAGTTTTGATATTTTGAACGATATTTTCTGAACACATGTTACTTAAAGTACACAGTAAAATACTCTTGTTTACAACCGAGTCTAATGGATAACTCATTTCTGATAAATATCCATTATGCTTTTATGGGCAGTGCTACTACAGGTTACGAAAACACGATTCGAATGAAAAAAGCTTACAACCAACGTCAGGAAACTATCATTTCTATCTTTTCTCAACGATACGTCAAATATTATTAACGAATTTTTGAATTCATCATCAAAACGTGTATTTGAACTAGCTGACCCGGCAAACGACGTACTGCCTAGTTGTTTGATATAAACCCGTCGAAGCCCAAGACGAAAAAAAAAAATCTTGCAAATCCGTCAATCCTTCTCGAAAACTTTTTCATTTTTATTTATAGAGATACAAATGATTTGTTTACCTTCGATGCCTGTACTATTTTTGCAATAGTATAATTGTGTGGCAAGTACAATCATACTCTATTGCCCAGGGAAGTCGAGAAATTTTCCAACCCGAAAAATTCCTAGACCGGACCGGGAATCGAACCCAGCCACCTCCAACATGGTCTTGCTTTGTAGCTGCGCCTTTAGTGACTGTGCTATGGGAGGCCCCTGATTTGTTTACCTGTTTAACGTATAGAATGCACCTTTCTTTAAAAAGTACGCTCTTCTTTGACTTTACGGTTGAGTTTCTCAGTCAAAGAACAGCCTATTATTGAAAGAAGGGTGTATTCTCTAGAAGGTCGTTTGTTTGAATATTCCAATCATTTTTATTTAACATATTTTTCGATGCCCTGAAAGCGATACTCTACCTCAATGACATTTATTTAGATTGTTTTCCGTCGATCTTGCCTTTCCGTGCTGAGCACCAATGCTACCAACGCCAGGGAGGCAGCTCTCCCACACCTGGACCCTACCTACATATCGACCCATCAAACTCATGAACCGGGGACCAACGGCTTTACTTCCCTTCCGAAGGAAGGCGTGATCAAATATGTTATGCCTCAGAACATCCCGGCGGCGTCGACTGGGATTGAACCCAGGCCTGCTGGGGTGAGAGGTAATCACGATAACCACTACACCACCGGCGCCGCTAATGACATTTATATCAAGAGCAAATTTTCATTATGTCGAAAATAACATTCGCACCGATATGATAAAAATAAAGTTTTGTTTTGATGACCGAAAAGTTATTCCTATTTCCAATAAACACATATAATCTCATAGTGATAGCAAGCAATGTTTATCATATTAGGCAGGGTTTTAATCGTACAAAGCAGATCGCTAGCTTCCATGCTAAAAAATACTGTTTTTTTGAGTCAAAATTTATTATACGTCGTTTGGCTTCCTAATGTTGCTTAAGTCAAAGTGTATTTACCAGGATATTCGGGATAATTATCAATCACGTATCCTTACGTGCAGTCCATTCTCCATTTTAGGACCACCGAAATCATTTAGCAACAAACAGTTCGATTTATTCACTTTAATAAACAGACAAACGGTATTTCCATAGAAATCAAGTGACTTAAGTAACGTCAAAAAATATTTTGATCGGAAGTTACGTCAAAAAGCGATTTGAATGGTAAATAAATTTACAGTACGGACAGTATATACTGACTATAATGAGTTACCTCTATGCATTAATCGTATATCAGTCCCAAATGGATTTTCGTCAATTTTAAGATAACATATCAAGTTGAACATTGCATTAGGTCCTAAGTAACATTGACAGATTCTCTTCATCGACTTTCTCTTTGTATTCCCACGGCCATGTAAAGACATTCCCAGGTATTTTCAGCTCACAAATCGATAAAAGAAGCTTTTATCTAGCATCTAAAACGACAAACACAACAAGAAACGGTTATGTGGTCAAGTTATTAACGAAAGAGAAAGTCGACGAAGGGAATCGATCAATGTTACTTAGGATCTAATGCAATGTTCAGCTTGATATTATGTGATAAAACTACGGAATTTGATCATGAAAGATGTGAAAACAACATCAAGTCAGTTTGTCCCATCAAGCAAAGTAATCGCATATCAGTCCCATCCTGGAATTCAATCGTCCAGAGGTCAAGTTACAGTTCTGCTTTTTGAATCGCTATATTTTTTGTTAATATAACAATACATGCAAGCTTCTTTGCAACTGATTTTAGCTTGACAAAATGATCGATTTGTTTACTATGATTGTTTAAATATTTACATGGAAATTGCACTTCTTAACTTCAACAGGCATTTTCTCAATGCCTACTTTTTTCCATATGGGACTGATAGGGCGTTATAGCAACCGGTGGAAACTAATAATTTTAAATTGGCTCACTACTTGACTAGCCTATTGGTCCTAAGCAAATCGATTAACTTACCCCATTCTAGTTGAAATTCTTGTACTACACTATGTTTGTTTTGATTCACTATGAAAGTTTGACAGATAAAATCAGGGTTACGTAGATTTTCCTGCATCGTTTAGCTTGAGACCGAAGAGAGTAATATAGTTGAGCCAAAAAGTTGAGCACGTTTCTTCGGGACCTTCTGGTCTTATAGTTATCTCTATGGTTATAGTCAGTATAGTGTAATAGCAGGAGCATTGATTGACACCGATTGCTTGCCTTTGTTTACCTTTGTTACTTTCGACGTAATGAAAATTTGCTCTTGATATAAGGTCTGGGCCAACAGGCAGCTTGCTGGAGTTAGAAGCAAAATATTGTAAACATTGCTGAACATAATGCGAACAGATAGAAATACGTCACTGCCAACAGCTGCTGTTTCGTGTAAAAAATAAAAATTGCAATGAAATACGAACACCACTAAACATTTGCTCATTTCACTAACATCAATAAGCCCTATGGCCCAGACCTTGTATAAAGGACATTGAATCTACCTCCCTTCGCTTCAGCAGCTCTTGCGCTGAGGCACCGATGGGAACTCCTCCATGCAAAATCTGATGTTTTTTTTTCTTTATTAACAAGATGTTTGGCAATAGGTAAGCGGATGCTGCATTTCTGACCTTTACCGATTCAAAAGTCGAGATACTTTCGCAAGTCTAGCGGAAATCCCTTCACGAATAATGGCGACACTTGCTTATCTTTTTTACAACTTCAGTTCGTTACCCTTGTTCGCCAACAGCTTCATTGCTGTCTGATTTGCTTGATTTTTGTTTTATTGCTTCACCATAGAACAGAGAGGTTGAGCATGTGAACGAATGAGAAGTGAGTTAGCATGTTAATTTATCTAACTTTTTCGAGCATCGCCGGGGATTGTGTTATTGTTTCATTCTTATTTTACATCAACAGCCTGAATGAAGCCCCAATGATGGTGATCTTATCAACTATAGTCAAAAAAATACATTCAAGCATGGTCATAACATAAAAAAAAACATTTATCTTATAGTCAATTACTCCTGCCGGCGAAAAACAGAAGAAAACTTTCGACGAAGCGCAACTGGGGGATATTCAACTAGCATATTATAAAAGAAAAATATTTACCTATATATGTAATTGTAGCATGTTAGCTTAGTCTACACCGGTGATACTAGAACGCTAGAACTAATTTTAAAATAAAAAAAAATCAATCTAGACATTTTCCTACCATACATCATTTGAAATGTTCCTTCCTTCTAGTTTTGGCCACGTTATCTCTGCAACACTCTTTGAGTTTATCAAACAACAAACTACGAACGTACTATCAGTACAAAACAATTCATGGATCAGCTCACTTTCGTCGATGGTGGGAAACATGTTTCTCTCTGATGAAGTTGACGAAAAAATGTACCAAATCAGGTAACTTAAAATATACACTAACTAATTTATACATACCTACATTTAATATATAATTCAATGTTTTAGGCAAAATAATGCCTTACTGTTGGCGCTATATGAAGCAGTGCATTTGAACAGAAACTTCATAACAACATTAGCCACAACTCAAGCAGAATCGAGCTCGCCACCGTCTCCGTCAAACACTCTTAACAGCCATCATTCCATAAGCGATATATCATCTGCGCCTATAATAGAAGTGTCCCAATACCCAACGAATTTGCTAGTAGCTGTTTTTCAATATTGGTAGGTAATATTGTATTAGCCGTATTATCAGTAAATTTTCTATTTCTTTGCTTGCAGCTCTGTCGTGATGATGGATCATAAAAATGAATCAAGTGCAGTTAATCTTAAATTATGTTTCATTATCCTTACATGCATTTCCGAAGACCAATATGCAAATTCAATGATGCATGATTCAAATCTCACGTTTAAAATATTTCTACATAGAGCACATATGCGACACAGAAAATCAACTGCAGATCGAGCGTCTAAACCTCAACCACTAGCTGCAACTTTGTTAGGTTAGTATTACGTAGGGAGAGTGGCAATAATACCACCACACTGGTCAAAGTTAGTGATGAAATAGCATCAGGCTAAACATCACTTTACTTAATAAAGTTTTTTTTTAAACTGGCCAAAGTGGATAATTTTAAGCCTAAAATTACTAAAATACTTCTTTGATAAATTCCCTTTCTTTTTCAGATTTGCTTGTAGAGTTCATTGTTTCTCATTTTATGAAAAAGTTTCCTATGGAGTTGTATTTGTTATGTACCGGTATTATACATCGCATCATAGTATACCAAAAACGTTGCCGAGTAAGACTGATTTATCCATGGAAGGAACTGTGGACGTCCTTGATAAGTTTACTCAAGTTTATCGTTTACCAGGAACAGACGCTTGTTAAAAAGTGCAACATATTCAACTTAGCCATTCAGGTAATGATAGCTTTGCTTAGAGCATTTAGTTGGGCGATAGCGCAATAGACTTTTCTGAATGCCCAAGTGGTAGTGCAATAGAAACTGGGTGTATTTATATATTGTTAGAATTTTGTTGTCTAAATAAAGATTGTTGGGAAATATTCACGCAAATAAGCGTAAAAACCCCATATCTTTCCGAAACACAACAGAACAATTATAAAATCAAATAAAAAACCAAATAATAATAATAAAAAGGTCTACAGTATAAAAATAATTTCGTACTATGGCCCTATGGCATAGAGTTGTCCGTGGATCAGTCAACTCTAAGCCATCATCACAGAGTTGATCGGGAACAAAAAAAATGGAAACAGGTTGCAAAATTCTTCTGATGTACATTAAATGGACAGCTACTCACCTTCTTGCAAGAATTCGCTGATTGAAAGCAGTTGCATTTGTCGAACCGTAATATCACCGGTCGTATTTATCGATAAAGTCAATATCGGTCTCTGAAAATATCGATATCATTTCGATATCGGATTTTGAATATTGATATCGGGTCCGATATCCAATATTCAATGGAAAATACACTAAATATATTGTATTCCCTTCCAACTTTATAATGCATTTGGAAAATCAAAATCATCGACATTACACAAACAAAAATAATCGGTTCTCTCTTCGAGGCTACATTGCTCAAAATTCACCGTGTTTAAGAAAACAAACGCTTCCAAGGGATCGGAGTTGTAATATTTTACAGAAGTTTCGTCTTCGCTTCGGCAAGACATATACTAAAATTGGTACGAAAAAGAGAAAATTAGCATGGCCCTGCGCAAAGATGACACGCAAAATCGTGAAGTGTTCCACATTTTTTGGCATACTCCAATACAAACCCTAACAACACAGTGGATTTCCTCTGCCAGCTCAAGCATCGTTAACCGGCTTCTCTGGAATACCTGTAATGACCCTATGGGTAGTGACCACTATCCAATAGGAATCCAGCTCGATGATCATCCGCCGGAAGCCTCTCGCAGGCCTCGTTGGCTCTACAACGAGGCTGACTGGGCTAAATACCAAGAAGTCATCATTGCAGCCAGCAGGGACACTGACCCAACTGACATTTCAGACTATATTGAACCAATTTTCAGCGCGGCTTCCGAGGCAATTCCACGAACCAGCCAAAACCCCGGACGTAAAGCGCTCCCGTTGTAGGGGCCCGTCACTAAATCTGCAGTTAAAGCCAGAAGAAAAGCTCTTCGAGTCGCTAAGCGTCTACCAGATGGTCATCCAGATAGAGAAACATCTTTATCATACTACCAGAGCAAGAGAAATAAATGCCGTCAAATCGTTCATGACGCCAAGAAGCAAAGCTGGGAACAATTCCTTAACGGGATTAATGAAAACCAATCGGCAGCTGATCTCTGGGGAAGGATCAACGTCCTCAGCGGTAAAAGAAAAAATCAAGGTATAGCACTACACCACGCCAACTCAGTGACCAGAGATGACTTGGTTATCATTTCGCTATGTTATCTGCGATTTCGAGCTATGACGAACGCTTTCGAAACAGAAAGGAGCATCCTCCATTGCCGAAATTCAAATACCGGTAGAAAAAACCCCATCGGAACTCAACCAGCCCTTCCGGCTGGACGAGCTTGTTCATGCACTCTCCAAAGCCAGGGGGAAATCCTTCCCGCTGAAGGTAAGGTAACATTACTCGAATTGATTAACCATGAATGGAAAAACGACTCACTGCCCCAAGCTTGAAAGCACAGCCTGGTCGTTCCTATCCAGAAGCAGGGTTCTTCCGGTCGGGAAGCCAAGGTTTTCCGACCCATCTCCCTCACCTGTTGTCCCCAGATCATCGAGAGAATGGTTAACCGAAGATTGATGTACTTCCTTGAATCACGGAATCTTCTTGACCATCGGCAACATGCGTTTCACCCGGGCACGGGACAAATACTTACTTCGCAACTCTTGGGCAGGTTCTCCACGATGCTTTTTGAGCAGGCAAGCATACCACGCACTTATATCTGGAAGGGCGCGCATTGTTGCACATTCGCATGAACAACATCTACACAGCAAAAAAAAAATGTTATATCGATCAATGTAATTCAAGCTGATGTATGCAATAATGATGTAATAGCAAAAAGAAGATACAATATTACATCAATGGATGTAATTTTGTTCGCAAAATCGATGTACCTCGTACAACGTTATATTGCACAACCGATGGATTGACCTGGTTGCAGCAGTTTGGATGTAATATTCAATAACTTTTTTTTCTGTGTACAGTGGTCTCCCCAAGGAGATATACATTTTCGTATACGCCGACGACATCGTTCTCGTTACCATCAGTGACACCGTTAAGGCGCTCCGTCGGAAGATGGGTGCGGCTACCAGGGCAGTATCATTGTGGGCATCGTCCGCTGGACTTCGGCTTTCAGCCGATAAGAGCACCATTATTCACATTTGTACCCATCATCACCGTCATTTCAGTACCCCTATCTAACATCGACGGAACCGCTGTCCCGTTTAAAAAAACAGTTCGCGTCCTAGGGGTTCGTCTTGATCAGCATCTGACTTTCACTGAACATTTCGATGACATCAAAAGCGGTTGCAAAACCAGACTGAATCTTCTCCGTTCTATCGCTGGACGGCACCCTGACAGTAATCGGTCCATCCGGCTCCGTGTTGCCAGATTCTCGAGTCGCGTCTTTTCTACGGCATCGATATCATTTGTCTCGCCCGCGATCTGATAATCTCCAAACTCGCTCCCACGTATCAAGAAGCTATCCGTATTTGTTCTGGTCATCTTCCGTTCACACCTAAAATGGCAACCTGCATCGAGAGTGGAATGCTACCTTTCGACCGACTGACCACACAAACTATCTGTAAGCGGGCAATAAATTTCGCCGAGAAGACAGTTGGCCCTGACGAGGGAGTTTTCCTCGTCACCGAGGGAAAACTACTCTTTTCTGCAACTGCCAATCTGGAGCTCCCCCCAGTGTCCAGGGTTCACTGGTGCGGATCCAGGGGTTGGAGTCTGCCCAGACCCGTAATTGACTTGGCAATTAAGAAGAAGTTTGGGGCAGGATCCTAGTGAAATCAGTAGCAGAACTTCAACGAACCGTATACAACGGTCATACAATCCGATATTCCGACGGCTCCGCAGCTCCGCAGGAATGACAGACTCTCAAATGTATGTATGCCACCGGCTACCGGACCAGTACTCGTCTTTTCGGCAGAGGCTACCGCTGCTTTCATCACTGCCACTACACCATCCAGCAGACCAATCACGGTTTTTTACGGATTCCGCCAGTGTAGTCGAAGCCCTCGGATCGGACATTTCCAAGCATCCCTGGATCCAGGGTATTCAGAAATAAGCACCCAACGTCCCAGCCAAGGATTTGAAACACTGGGTTTCAAAGGTAATCTGGGAATCCTGGTCAGCCGATTAGCTTCGCTAAAAGGATACTTTCATCCGAAAGATCAAGCACGACAACACATAGGTGGAAGGACCCACGAGACCACCGTACCCAGATCGTGATGTCTCGCCTAAGAACGGGGCACACCAACATTTCCCATAACTTTACTGGGAACGGCCCTTTCCGCAGGATGTGCGACATCTGCCATGACCCGCACACAGTAGAGCACATCATATGCCAATGCCCACAATATGAGGGGCCCCGCAAATTTTATGACATACCGGGAACTATCAAAGATTCCCTTAGTGAGGACCCGAGAAGAACCGCGGCATTACTCAGTTTTCTCCGAGAAACCGGACTACTGGAAAGCATCTAACACTTGTATATTGAACCTCACAAATACCAACCTTAGCTTCTCACCTGAAAACGAACATGGACGACCGACAAAACCTGACCCACATTATGTTTCTCTTATGGATAACGCCAACGGATGATTTATACGACAACAACAACCGGACGACAGTCATGACAGCAACTAAGACAGAAACAACTCTGATAAAACTATAACTATGATTTTAGGGAGGGCTCCTTTCTGGGGCTGCCACCTTCTAAACTCTGTTATTAGGGGGCTCTCTTATGGGGCCTCCGTTCTGGAGTCCCATCCCATTACAAACTTTGTAATTATGGAGGCTCCCTTCCGAAGCCTCCAACTACGTACGAGACAAACCAGCTCAAGGCTGAAAGTCTCCTTTATAAAGAAAACTACTTAACTCACTAACTACAGAAGTTTCAGAACCACCTGGAACAAACATGGATACATACTCTTCTTACAAGCACAAAATAGCACATGTAATTAGTTCGATACCACTCCTCACGTAAGGCCTTTTTTTGTTTCGGCTTTTTGTACTTCGGCCTTTTGTGATTCGGCCTACTGACCCGTACAGTAGGCCGAACTACAAAAAGCCGAAACATAAAAAGCTGAACATATTCTAAAGTACCATAAAAGGCCGAAAGCCAGAAAGGCCGAAAAAAAAGGCAGAAAATTTATCAAAAACTAAATTTGTTGAAAACCACATCCAAACATTCACAAAAATTAAGACAAGATTAAATGAGATATAGAGGTGTTCTCACTTGCTGACTTTTTGGGAAAAAAAAAACAGTAAGTGGTAAGCTGCTGGTAAGAGAAGGGTAAGGAAATGAGAAATGCGATAGAGGTGAACGGTTTATTTACGCATACGCAACATTCTGATTGGGTGACAAGTTCAGGGCTGGTAGCAGGTCACTTTTTAGTGACTTGGTCACTATTTTCAAGCCAGTCACTAAAAAGTCACTTTTTTCCTCAGAAGATCACTAAAGTCACTATTCCTTAAAATTTAGTCACTAAAGTCCCTTTTTTATGGCCAATGTTGAGAGTAAAAAAAAATATTGCTGATTGCATCTGAATCTGGATTGTCCCAAAAATGCAAAAAGTGTGATAAAAGTGCACGTTTTCGTCAAATCGTTTTGATGTCTTCGGAGCACTTATTGCTTGCATCATAAGGAATGAGTGCACCGAACACATCAAGACGATTAGACGTAAACTTGCAATTTTATCACACTTTTTAATAAGTGAAAACGCGCTTATTAGTCCAATTTGGTGTGAAATGCGCAATATTACTTTAAAAACTTGATGTGCGTTTGATTGATTTGGTAACAAATGTGTGTTAGAGAGATTCATTAAAAATCCGTGTGCAAATTCTGACGGACAAGAAAAGTTGCGAACAGACGGAAATCCGGAAGACGGAACTGTCCAATTGATGTTGACGAAATCACTAATATCTTGAGAGTTATCAGAGGTTTCGGAAAAAGTTGTAGACCCAATAGCCTGGCTATTTTCCTTCGAGATCTTGCATGTTTTCCAAGCCTAAAATGTAAAAAAATAGTCTAAGAAAGTGTTCAAGCTCTCGACATTTTTTCAAAGGTCAGAAATTTGAATAATCTCTGACACCCGGTAGCTTTAGTATTTGTCCAAACACCGAGAAAAAATCATGTCACAGAATCTGGAGTTTCTTTTTAAGTCCATTAAATTGTATAGCATTTTTTGTACTAATAATCCGGTACTACGCAAACAAATTTCCAGGTTCAGGTTTTAGAAAAACAAAATATGTCTATGATCATAAAATATTGTCTATATTTCAGAAGTCTGTGTGTGTGTACGTGTGTATGTGTGTATGTGTGTATGTGTATGTATGTAACGAAATGAATGCGCTCACGTTTCTCAGCAACCGCTCAACCGATTTGGACAAACTCGGCGCCAAATGATAGGTCTTGAGGTCCCATTGAACGCTATTGAACGGTTTTGGAATCGGTGAACCGGTTCCGGAGATATGGCCGGAATAAGATCCGGTGAATATGGGCCCTCACGCTGGATTTAACGGAAAACGTATCAAAACCATCATGCGACACATCAAATTACTACAGAATTCAAAAATAAGATCAATGCAAGTCGTGTTAAGCGTTCCAGACCACATTGGACACACTTGGACATGTTCCGGGTACCCCGGGGAAGTTGCTTGAATATGAATTGAATTAAAACCCATTAAATCACATTAAAATACGATGATAAGGTGATTGGTAGCCTCACCAAATAGACTACACCCGGATATATTCCGGGTACCCCCAGGCAGTGGCGTAGCGTCACTGATAATGACAATAAAATAAATAAACTTGAATAAGTAAGAAGGGTCTGATCACACCATAGGTGGATAAATTCGGGTTTTTTTTTCCTGGATTTGTTATTCCGTCGATCTTGTTTTCCGTGCTGAGCACCAATGCTACCGACGCCAGAGAGGCAGCTCCCACACCTGGGCCCTACCTATCGACCCATCAACTCATGAACCGGAGACCAACGGCTTTACTTCCCTTCCGAAGGAAAGCGTGATCAGAGATGTTATGCCTCCGAACATCCCGGCGGTGCCGACTGGGATTGAACCCAGGCCTGCTGGAGTGAGAGGTAATCACGCTTACCACTACACCACCGGTGCCGCTTAATTTATGTTTTTATATTATTTATTATATTATTTATGTACTTTCATTACGAAAATCGAAAATCCATTATATTTTATTTCGAAGATGCAGAATAGTAATTATTGTAACTTTACTTTAATAATGTTATTCAATTTATTAAAAACAAATGAATAAAAAAAGCCGAAAAAACTCGGGAAAGCGACAAAGTGGACCGAGTTTTTTCGGCCTTTCGTGATTCGGCCTTTTTTGATTAGGTATTTCGGAGTACTCCCCTCCTCACGTACCTACATTTGAAATTTGTCTCTCTGGTTTCCAAAACCGTATAAAAATCAAAAATTGGTTGAAAAATGATTGAGTCACTCATGATAGTATGCGGTAACTTACCCAAAGTTGGGTTTTTAACAATAACTTCAGGAAGTTAGGACAATTTCAAATATGATTCATGTTGTACTTGACTAGACTGATAACCTACAGTAGATCACTTGAAAGTTTTAGTTTTTGGCAGTGTTTCCAATATAATGGTAAAAAATTCAACCATTATAATAATTTCATTCACGTAGAGATTTAGAAAGCTATGTTACCAATGACCTCATCATACAAGTTCCGACCGTCTTTGAGGACGTCAGAATCTTATTTGAGTCAAAACTAATCATTCGACCTATCAAACCATATGAGACTTCGCGTTTAGCAACCGGATTTATTTATTTATTACGTCAAGCAAAGTAGACTACATACAATGTTTACAATGTTTTACTTACATGCTATGCATTATTTCTATTTCCTCTTAGTCGAGTCTTAGCAGCCGCTTCGAGACCTCATTGGCGACACCTGGCATGTTTGAGCTAAGGAAGAGAAGCATAATTATCAGGAATTGCGTATATATGCTTATTTTGAGCATAATTGCAATGACATGCTTGCACAATTTTCATTGATTTAAAACTATCTTTACGATACGGTGCAAACACTGAAAATAAATACCTAGTAGGTCTGACAAGAAAACTATATTCATTTTAACTATGTCGCAAAACAGTCAAAATAACGTAAATCAATGTGAAGTGGGGCTTCATAGCCTAGTCAGTAAAGGCACGGTATTACCAAGCCGGAGGCGGCGGGTTCCGGTCGAAGGAATCTTTCGGGTTGGAAATTTTCTCAACTTCCCTGGGCATATAGAGTATCATTGTGCTTGCCACACAATATACAAATTCATGCATTGGTATTGGCATCGAAAGCTCTTAATTGATAACTGGGAAATACATTTAGAACACTAAGTTAAATTCGACTTAAAAATATTTCAATCTGAAATGGTAAGGCTGGATGATTTCTAAAACAAATTTGCATAACGTTTTTAAAAATTACTCCGTTACATGCAAGTGTATGCTCCCAATATGCAGTTGAACTTATTCGTGGAACAATATTTTGAAGAAAAAAAAAACTAGAACGTTTTAGAAAACAGGATCTTATTTATGCAAAGCTAGGAAAATCTGAAATTTATTGCTTTATTTTCTTAAAAACGCTGGTAAAAGGTCGTGTGACAACCTAACACGGGAAAAATCGTTTCATTTTGCATTTACTACTCACTCAAACGCGAACAGAAACGCTTACAATTATGTGGGATTCATCATCAGAGGATGTTAGTGGAGACCGCATGAACCGAGGATGCGATAAACCGAGCTGCAGTCCAATGCAAGAAAATGGAGAAAAAAAAATGTGTATTGTATTACTAAGTGAAATTAATCATGTCGAAAAAAAAACGTGCCGGCTGAGGGACTCGAATCACGAACGTTGCGATTATCAGACCTTTACTTTCTCTACTGCTCTCTCCATGCTTGGGATATGAAAAGGCTAAAAGCTAACAAGAGGGCTCGTTTCCTCGCATACTCGACTTCGTTTGCTTTTCTGCTGGAGAGAATCGAGGCAAGTGTGTACGTCGTTCTACCATGTTATACATAACAATCAAGGTAAATACTTGCTTGTTTAGGTGAAAGCATATATAGAACATGAAATAAAAAAAGATTAAAAATCATTGCATTGTCTGCAAGGTCAACTTCTAACATTCGCTGCGATGTTCATGAACAGAAGATGAAAGTAAATGGAACTAACATTCATTGTAATAAATTTTTGGTTTGCGTGTACTTGACTAGCCTATTGGTCCCAAACAAATCGATCAACATATCCCATTCTAGTCAAAATTCTAGTACTACACTATGTTTGTTTTGATTCGCTATGAAAGTTTGGCAGATATAATGTTCCTATGTTTTGAGGGGTGCATCGATTAGCTTGGGACCGAAGATAGTACCAGAGCTGAGTCAAAAAGTTGAGCACGTTTCTTCGGGACCTACTAGTCTTAGAGTTACCTCTATGGTATTATACTGCTACACCTAAACGTAAGCGGCACGCAAATACTCTAAAAATGCTGCGAAACATCTATATCAATGCTGAATTTCACTAGCCACCTGATTTCAGTACCAGTTCACACTGTTAGAATATAAATATCATTCGTCTCAATGCCAATGCGCAAATGAGATTGACATCGTAAAGGGACCTCTGATATTCAAAGTTCTGCCGAAAATGTTTCTTATATACGCCAGCTAATCTAGTACTGTTTAGAAAATATTAAAACAATGCAATAGTTATACAAAAAAAATGATTTATTGAGATAAAAGTAAGATTTTCAACTTTTCCCTAGTGATATTCATATGGATAGTAATATCAAAGCCGTATATCTCCTGATATTATGCTTACCAAGAATATCAGTGTCGAAAGTGAATTCAGTGCTAGACCAATATTTTACGTCAATTGAAATTTTTGACAGCACGCAGCATTGCTGTGGTGCTCACGCGAGTGGATGAATTTTCCCATGCTTGCTTAAAACTTCTCGACAATATGATTAATTATTATAACATGTTACAAGCAAGTTTGCAATTGCTCCCTTGATTTGTTTTCCGTTCATCTTGCTCTCCGTGCTGAGCACCAATGCTACCGACGCCTGGGAGGCAGCTCCCACGCCTGGCCCTACCTATCGACCCATAAACTCATGAGCCGGGGACCAACGGCTTTACTAGGAAGGCGTGATCAGAGATGTTATGCCTCAGAATACCCCGGCGGCGCCGACTGGGATTGAACTCAGGCCTGCTGGGGTGAAGGGTAATCACGCTTATTACTACACCACCGGCGCCGCTAATTGCAATTTCTCATTTGGCATAAAAAATGTTTCCCAAATTATGCAGTCATAAGATGTTATGATTACACGTTTTAAGTTACAGGAGATATTGAAACTTGTTAACATTTTTTTTATTATTATTTTCAGGTTGTTAACATTTTCAATCTCTTTATCACCTATGGAGACACCTTTTTGGCAACTACTAGTAGCTACGACGATCTTTACTATGAGCTTAACAGAGAGGAAAAAGTATTTAGTGAGGTAAGTAAAGCAATGTATTTTATGGAATAAGTAAAGTAAATTAAAGGATCGATTGAATGTTTATCCATTACTTGCTACTTGAACTTAGGCTGTTCGTTCGTCTTATGGCAGGCACGTAGCCATGGGGGAAGGCTCTGGGGCTGAAGCACCCCAACCCCAACCCCCTCCCCCCCTAAAGTTGAAAAAACGCATCTGTGTCACTTGTTAATTCATACATGTAAAACCACACAAATACCAGAAATAAAGATCATTTAACGTAAAAAAAAAAGTCATGTGTTTTGGCTGCAAAATCTCGTATCAGTACACGATGATATTGACAATTCTGCTTTGGTCACTCATTTGAGCTAACAGTCATAGTCAAGGCAAACCATGTCAATTGTCAATGACAATGGTGTCAGTGACGAACATGTGCAGATTTGTTTATTAGCTAAATTTGTAACGAAATTAAATGACTTGAGCAAAATAATTACATGGATCCATTTTAATGAACAAGTATCTACGTCCTGAGCTACTTGGATAACAATAATGTGACACAGAATGTACTAAATTACACTTTTTGTTACAGGTGAATCTTTGTCATTGACGAAAAAATGAATGAGATTTTGACGAAGGTTTTTTTGAGGATCAAGTCTGTCAGTGACTATGTGACGAACAATTTTGTCAATATCGCGCGAAAGTCTGTCAATGACAATGACAAATCTCAGCACTGGTTTTGGCTGACTTTGGATGATTTTGTTTTAACTAACTTTGGTAGTGGGCATCTCGTTGAGTTGATCACATCTAACCCGGAGCTGTCGGTCAGGTTTCCGCAGATGCAAGGGCGGTGTATCCGTTGTGCGCCGGCCTAAACAATACAGAATGCTTGTTTTGCGAGATCTACTTTGCCAAGGTGTTTTGGTGGACATGTTGTTGTGGCCGGCGAGGGGGTGTTGTGTTAAAGTATAGTGCTAAGTGCATAGCACCAGGACTAACACTAAAATATGGGGGGCGGAGCAATGAGAGATCGAACCGGTAGGAACCAGTCGTGGCAGGAGAACTCCCATTTCCAACAACATATCTTAAAACACTCACGCCGCGACGCCGTCGCCGCCGAGGCAAAAACAGCTTCTACGCCTTTCGCTGGCGCTGATATCATCTGTTTTTCCCATATTTTTTAATTGTACCAAATCAAACAAATATTAGTTTTCGCGTGTGGATAAGTGTAAATTAAGATCTATCACGTTGCTGTGGTGTCGCGTCGGTCGGTTTTTCATTTCGCTTGTTTTTGGTGCTTTGCCTCCCTCCCAAGAAGAGTTTTACCAGGTATTTTTTTCTTTTCGTTTCTTGGTGCTGGCGTTCTGCCTTCCGGAGGATGCACGCGAATGAGGTGTCAAGAAAAAATTCGGTGCAAATGAAAAACTTCGAATGTGATTCAAAATGTCGTGTTGGGTTGTAAAAACAACGCGGAAGATTTTTTCGATTACCGCGAGTGAACAAACCGGTCCTTTTTCGGAGACAGAATTTGGTGAGATCCATCTGATTTATAATCAATCATAAATGCATATTTCCATATATTACTAAATACGCGCCAGATTTCGAAACGTCACATTTTGAAATCTGGAAATGTGTTTGCAGTACCATTATTCATATGATAACGGTAGTGTTTACATGCGGGGCTTATTGTATGTGAAAGTAACCTCGGAATGGACGTGAATTACCAGGCATTCTGAAATGGGTTGCTGAATCTGCAGTAGAGCTATCGCTTTCTAACTCCCGGACTAAACTTGCTTTAAATTATTACATCAAGGATTGTTGTAAGCAAATTTCTTCCATAATACCACTGCCGGCCAGTGGGGGTTAGATTGAATACACACACACACACACACACAGGGTTTAAAGGGTATCCTGTAAATTAGCACTAAACACAATCATCACATTAATTAGAACAAAGATGAGGAGCCAAAGGCAACCCAATTGAAATGTTAAACCAATGTTGAAAAAAAAAAAATCAGTTTGACAGCCCACGGTTGCTGCTCTGTTATTACCAGATCAGCTGCAATTACACAGAGAACCAACAGATGATGTTTGGGACTAACATTCATCCTCAATGTGTAAGAACTGGAGATCTAATATTTAGCAATACCAGCGCCGGCCGTGTCCGAATGCAGGTCAACTAGGGAATGGGAAGGAATGTGTTGACGTGGTACTCGCTGTGATGGAAACCGAGAAATCCTCTGCGCTTCCACGAGAAATCACTGGGATGTTGGATGTGGGGAAAGGTTGCACGCACATGCAGGGATCGTTTTTTGGTAGAGCGATTATAATACACAAACACACACACACACACGCGCGCGCGCACTCATCCAATTTCTATTTTTAGATCAGGAACCACACTGTGGTAAGTGATGCGATCGGTGTTAAAGAAGAATTTGTTTTCATTAAAATCTAGTGGGTATAGAATAAGGCAAAGTGAAAAATTGCAAGGAAGGGGACGGGCCTGGGATTGAACTCCTGACCTTCTGCTCAGTAAGCAGAAACGGTAACCACTGAGCTACCGAGCCTCGTCTGAAATGTTAAACCAATGTTGAAACATTAAAAAAAAAACAAGCAAATAAACGTAAATTTTACTACTAATAACAGCACACACCTTATAGAGATCATTAACCATACATAAACTTTCAGCGAAATTATCATACCTTGGGCATTGGCATAACCTTGAGGATTGCTTAACTGCAGCCAGGTCCCAGGACTTGTCTGTACATTTTACATTTTGAAAGATGCACACTAGTGATGCTAGTTGTGATGTAGCGGACCAAAAGTTTGTTGGAATTTAACTACTAGCCAAAATTTAATAATTTTTTTTTTTGAATTATGATTTTAACTATGAATTGTTTTTCTACATAATTTATTCTAATGAGCATGTGCATGATTGACCGTCCACGGTTGCTACTCTGTTATTGCCAGATCACTAGCACTCATCCTCAATGTGTAAAAACTGGTGATCTCAAACTAGGCAATAAAGGGTGATACGGTCAAAATTTGGTCAAGGGAAAACGCGTGTAAATCGGTGAAATCGTTTATTTAAAAAATCAAATTAAATTTCTTTTTCAAGTTCAATTAGTATAAAATTCAGGAAAAATATTCAGTTAGGCTTCCGCTTTTCCAAATCCGAATTGCCGGGCCTTACGCTTGACCCCTGCCATCAGATTTTGTACAGCCACCTTGTCCACCTTCTTCGCCGCAGAAAGCCAGTTTGCCTTGAACTGCTGCTCGCCCTTAGCAGTTTTTTGTCTTCTTTAGGTTCCGCTTGACAATAGCCCAGTATTTCTCAATTGGGCGGAGCTCTGGCGTGTTGGGAGGGTTCTTGTCCTTGGGAACCACCTGCACGTTGTTGGCGGCGTACCACTCCATGGCCTTTTTACCGTAATGGCAAGATGCCAAATCCGGCCAAAACAGTACGGAACAACCGTGTTTCTTCAGGAAAGGCAGCAGACGTTTATTCAAACACTCTTTCACGTAAATTTCTTGGTTGACAGTCCCGGAAGCTATGAAAATGCTGCTTTTCAAGCCACAGGTACAGATGGCTTGCCAAACCAGATATTTCTTTGCGAACTTTGACAGTTTCATGTGCTTGAAAACATCTGCTACCTTTCCCCTTCCTTTTGCCGTATAAAACTCCTGTCCCGGAAGCTGCTTGTAGTCGGCTTTGACGTAGGTTTCGTCGTCCATTACCACGCAGTCAAACTTCGTCAGCATCGTCGTGTACAGCCTCCGGGATCGCGCTTTGGCCGTCGTATTTTGTTTATCATCGCGATTTGGAGTCACTACCTTCTTGTAAGTCGATAGTCCGGCTCGTTTTTTGGCTCGATGCACGGTTGTAGACGATACACCCAGCTTATTTGCGGCATCTCGGAGAGAGAGGTTAGGGTTTCGCTTGAAACTACCGGCAACTCTCTTTGTCGTCTCAGTGGCTTCCAGTTTTCGATTTCCCCCCGATCCAGACTTCCTGGCTGTCGACAAACGTTCTCCAAACACTTTAATTACATTTGTAACGGTTGATTTGGCAACTTTTACCGATTTTGCCAACTTTGCGTGCGAGTAGCTCGGATTTTCGCGATGCGCGAGCAAAATTTTGATACGCTGCTCTTCTTGCTTGGACGGCATTTTGACAACTGAAGAGTGAATTCCAAAATCAAAATAGGAGCAACATTCAACACACACACACCTTCAAAATGAGGGGTGTTCAGGTTTTTTAAATGTAAAATTGAAAGAAATACGTCAAGTTGATATTGACCAAATTTTGACCGTATCACCCTTTACCAGCCGGCGCTGGTCAAGAAAGGAATGGGTAGGAATGTGTTGACGTGACACTCGCTTTGATGGAAGCCGAGAAATCCTCTGCACTGCCACGAGGAATCACTGGGATGTTGGATAAGAGGGTAGGGTTTGCAACAGGGTTCGTTTTGGTAAACGATAAGCTGAATTGACGTCCTAACGATAGGGAGGAGTTAGTGTATAAATAAATAAAAAGGAATGATCTCACTCAAATAACCAAGTGGAGCTGCACCAACAGCAACTGGCCTCCTCGTAGACTTTCTTCGACCCATCGCAGGTATCTTCCTAAAAAACAGACGTCAAAATTCCGGATCCATCTCGTTGATTAATAAAATATAACAAAATACAAACAGCCTCGATTTTAGTCAATCAATTTCTTTAAACTCAAGCTATATATGAAAATTGTAATTGAATGGTATGAATGAACTCAACTTTACCTAGTCTGTTTTTACACGGTTTTTCTTACGCGGTTTTTTTTTTGCACGGTTATTTTTACACGGTTTTCCACGATTTACACGGTACGTTTTTAACGATATCTCGACAACGATACAACATATCGACTTGATTTCAATCACATTATCCGTTTCCAGCTATAGGTAATCGAATGGCATACTTAAAAAAAAATCACAATTTTTGGTGTAAATACAGAAATTTTTTAAAATATGTCTTTATGGACCATATCATGC